AAAAAAAAAAAAAAGCCACCAAATGTCATTGAAATCCTTCTTTACTCGACTTGAGAGCAAGTAATACGCATCACTAGTGAAAATAGACATAAATGTAAAAAAATATATGATTCAAAAAGTTCGGCAAGAAATATGCACCAAATATTAGATAAAGAGAGGTCTATAGTTCTGAACCCCCACCCGCCAAAAAGGAAGAATTAAAACTAACCTCAGCAAGACCCTTCGGCCCAAAAACTAACAAAGCCACCACTCCAATGACCAGAGCCTCAGGAGCCCCAACTCCAAATAGAGATGCATACGCTCCCTTACCTCTACATTTGCCCTTTCTTTCTGCAAAAACCCATTACTTCAAATACTCAAAAGTAAGAAATTTTAACCAAAAGAGATTAAAATGCCCATTTCGATCGCAATCTAGTTATAACAATAATAAATTTATGTACATATTTGAATGCGAATTTTTTTACTGATAATAATAGCACAAGCCCACCAAAGTACTAGAGCAGTACCTATTTTAACAGAACGTTGCGAGATTGAGATGCCCAGATTCTTAAGACCGTTCCAAGGAGAAAAGTGACCAGCACTCAGTTGAGGAATGCATTTCAAATACTGAAAATTCACATATTTGGGGATTATAATTGCTGAATTTGAGAAAGCACAAATAGAGGGCTTAGATGACGTAGAAGACAAATATGAATTGGGAGTAAAAATTGCAGAAGCCATGATTGGACTTCACTTATTCAAATTGAGCTTGATTTTGGGTCTTCTTTCACTTGTATGTATGTGCGGATATTATTTGGTTAATCCAATGTGAAAAATGTTCTTGAAGTCGGCAGTAGAAATATAAATGAAAGGGGAATATTACACCAATAGTCCCCAACTTGTTGGTATAATTCGTAAGTTGGTCATAAACTATCTCAGATTTTGTTCCTGAAAACGTGACTAGCCAGGCACTCCCCTCAGGCATCATCCTTCATTCCGTCTATAATTTATGCGAGATGGGATGGGAATAAAGATATCTCAATTTACAGCTCAATTAACTTATTTATTTTTAATGTTATAATATTTTTAAACATGATTATAATTTAAAAACATAAAAATAAGTTTTCGCCCCAATTTCCGAAGAGGGTGACAAGGTAATACGGGATATTTTGCCAACCACATTTCATACACTAAATTTTGAAGTGAGAAATACTTTTATTAGGACAATTTTAACGAAAATTTATACGTATGAAATACAATGAAAGTAATGAACTTGGTCATTTTTATGGGTAGAAACTGCTTCGATATTAAGACGATACATTGAGGACCAACAATGCAATTGTTCTTAGAAGGTAATTGAAAACCAGAGAGATATGAGGTACTGGCTTCTGCAAAAAATATTTTTAGTAGATCTTTTGAATCCAGTAATTTGATGGACTTATTTATAGGAAGTTAAAACGAGCTTTCTAGTTATTATATATTTTTTAACTAATAGCCCTAGTGCCGAAAGGATTTTTTTTTTTCGAACACCAACCGCACTTAAGTGGGAAGCTTGGCTACCATTCCATAGTTAGAAACCACAAGTGCACTAGAGAGAGGAAGATAGAGGAGACAAATTGTAATATCCCAAGCACAAGCATAGGGGGGATCGTACGGCGAGCAGAGCAAGGCTCTTCTCGTTGAGCTCGTGAGCACGATTCACGAACTCAAAGGTCACGGGCCCATAAGTTGACCAAACATCATTTGGTAACTTGGAAAAAAAACCTCAATCTTGTGGGCTCGCGAGCTCAAGGCCCTTGACAAACGAGCTGAGTGTAGGCTCGGTTCGTCTCAAAGAACCATGAGTTCCGCTCTTACGAGTACAAGCCAAGTTCATGGATAATAGAGTTGAGCCGATTAAACTTGGCTCATTGACGCCACTAGGGGAAGATAAATTATATTCTCAACTTTTAGAGAGAATGACACGAGCAAAATTTTGAACTCAAAATTTATATTTTCAATATAAGGATAGTCATACTATCGTTCATTCGTTCTAAGCGTGACGTAGGGAATCCTTAATCTATCTAACCGGAGTATTTGAAGCTTAGAAAACATGTCTTTCGCCTTTAGAGTCCTCACTCCTCAGCCACTATAGTCAAACTATTATTACTGAGATGATTAGCTACGCAAAATGAAAACTATGAAATATTGCATATCCAACGATGCATTTTCTCTGGATAAGATAAAATGAATAAATCATAAAAAAGATGTGCACTAATCTTCCAAACCTATGTATTTTCACTCTTGATCGTATCGTGCTCATATGATCTTTTAATGCATGTTCATACTTAATCGTATCAGATTTGTATGAGCTTGTCGGATCAATTCTATAGTATTCCTCAATTAAGGGTGGAGGAAAAGAAAGAGTTTTTAAAGGTTCGATAAAATTCCTGACGAATTTATAAATGGTTCATTATAGGAACCGTAAGAGAAATTGTGGTCAGCTTGTTACACGTGCGAATAATAATGAGTATTAACTATATATGTATGATTAAAATAAATACTTATGCGACTAAATTTAGAAAATGTTTAAAAAGTTTGTATTAAAATGTAGTCTTAGCCCTTGTTTGACAATCATCTTTACAAAACTCTTTTTTGTTAAACTCATTTTCAATCACACATTTCCACAATAAAATATTGTGTACATAAATCCAATTTTTTTTTTTCTATTTTTAAACCACACATTCTTCAAAATATTTACTATTTCAAAACTTATTTTCTCAAAAAAAAAAAAAAAAATGCTCTTTTTAATGGTTGTCAAATTGGGGCTTAGTTTTTAGTGGAATATAGAACTAAAGTCTATAGCCTTTCTTATCTCAATGGCTAATTCTTGATGGGCCCGCAATATAGTCCATGGACTTGGACAATATTCTATACATCTTGAAATTGGATCTGGCCCAAATGTCATGGAAATATTAGAGTCAACTTCACAAATACCCTATTTTGTCCAAAATATTTAAAGTACCAATTTTTCATGAACCTTGGCAACATTTTGGTCACTACCAATTCCAAAGGAAAAACACACCTGGAATTTGTAGTGCTCTGCAACAGGGCTTTGCGGCAGCTTCCGAGGGACAAGTAATGCAATTGAGGCTTCAACTCAAAAAAATTAACAAGCTAGCTAAAAATTCATATCCAAATAAATTAATTTATTTTGAAAACTCATCGATTTGAAGAAAGAGAAGGGGATTTAGTAGCAATGAAATCGTGACAGTGGTGGGCAACAATGACATTGACAATTTGACATCTTGAGATCATCACAATGGTACTATATTCTTTACGTAAACACACAGAAGTTACTTAAAAAATGTCTTTAGTTTAAACTTGTTTTTCCTTCACACGTGATTCCTATTTCCCACAAAATATTGCTTCATTGAGTTTGAATTCATTATGGTTTATTGTCACTCTGTATTATCTTAAATCATCCAACAGAGGATCTTGGTCTTGGATCTGCGTATTATGATAATACATATTAATAAAGTGGGTTCTTAAAAATATTAATTAATTACACATCAACCCCCACCTACTTGAACATGTGGTATGCCGGTTCACCTTTAGACTTGTAGGGCCACAACCATACTAATCCACCCCATAAGATGGTCAATTTGTAAAATATCGAGCAGTGCATGTCTTGAGTGGGACCCCTTAAGAAATTTTAAATTTGCAAAAAGACTACCTTTATTTTAATGATGATATAATTTCTTCCCAACTTTTGGCCCTTCTAATTATTGGATATGAAAAAGGAGTACAATGAAATTATCTTTGGAAACTCAAGTGAAAAGCTTATATAAAGGCTATAATTATTAACAAATTTATCTGGCTCATGAAAGCTATGTAGAAAGTTTTAAAAAGGGTTTGAGCCCTAGAAAGCGATTCCTTTCGCCTAAGTTCACGAACTTTTAATAGAGTGACATTTTTTTCCCTAATCTAATTGATTCTACATAGGAGCGGACATGACCCGCGAATATGTAGTTTTCTTCAATGTATTGAACTTACATAATGGACATATTTGATCGATAGATCGTGCCTGATTGAATTTGATTATAATCATATTATAATTTAAAGTTTAAAGCTAAACTTAATTCTAGCCACACACTTGGCAAGATCCAAATTTACTATCCACTCATATACTAACAATTTCTATCACATTATTATCCAGCAACTTGTAAACAAATTTAAACGAGTATGAATAAATTTCATTTGTTAATCTCATTTTCAAGTCCTGTCCAATTCAGAATATCAACATACGTGTACAATATTTCTAATCAATATTCACAATTCAATCAAAATATACATTACTACTACGACTAACAATATTTTGAGTATAGTTCCATCAACGACCAATTTAGGTCCATCTCACGAAAATTTAAAAAATTCCTTTACTTGTTAGATCTTTCTTTCGTGCAAGTATCCGTGTAAACATCTACATTTATAAATATTGCTAAGTCATTTTAACAAAATGAAATTTAATGCGAATAGACAGAGATCTTAAATTCAAATTTCGTCAACCCTCAAATTATAAAAAATTGTATATGTACCTAGCATTTTCTTTCTTTGTGTATAGAGATAAGGAGATGGTTGTGATATCATTGTCAAAGTGGGCATCGATAATGTTTATGGGGGAACCACTCGTGCAAAAGTAGTTAAAATTAAAGAGAAGAATTTAGAAGAATGTCAATGTCTATCACACGAGGGCTACCACCCTAGATATAACCCCATCAAACACAACTGGCTGATGGCTCTCCATAATACATACAAGATAAAATCAAAACACAAAAGTCTTTGTGATTGACAGCCACCTCACTTCACACACAGTGTACACACTAATATTACATACAAAATACACATATATGGAAAGACGAATATAATCCGCCTAATTAATAATTTTTTATTTCAACGTAAGGGGTCCGTTTGCACATCTTCTGCTTTTTGAAAAAGTACTATGAGCTTGTTTGGAAGGGATTAAAATCGGATTAAAATTGAAAAATTAGCTGTTATTGTTGACTTTTATTAGACGAGTGTGATCCAATAACGACATATTTTCAATTTTAATTGGATTAAAATCCCTCTCAAACAAACTCTATATGTAAATGCTATGTTAATTGACATTTTAAAACTAATTTATAAAAAAGTTTTCCTTCCGAAATAATTTTTAGAGAAAGTCATATTGATATAATTTTATTTAAAAACTCTTTCTAACTAGAAGAAAATAACTAATTAAAATTAATCACATCGATCCAAAAGCAACTTTTGGATAAAAACATCGAAAAATCAATCAAACCGACCAAACCAAATTGAGTTGGTGTGATTTTGGTTTGTTTGAACCAAGAAATCTATTTGGTTCGATTCGTTTTAACCGTGAAAAATTCGAATTGGATTGGTTGCGGTTCAAGCAACCAACCTGTCAATTAACCGACCCAACTCATTAAATTTTTAATTATTATTTTTTCATTTGAAAATTCATGTTTTTAAACTTAAAAAACAAAAAAATAAAAATATAATTCATTCTCAAATAATTTGTTTACCGTCTACGCTTTTTTTACCAAAACTCCAAATTTCAAAAGGAAAAAAAAAAAAAAAAAAGGCAAAG